AAAAAGATAGTTATACTTAATTAACACTTATTAAGCGAAATAATTTTTTTTTGTAGTAATAAAGTTTTTTTAACTTCGCAATTCTATAGCTTTTCGAAATTTAATCTTCCTTCCATATTTTTTAAAAGAAAAAGTCATGCCAGTAGTTCCCTTTGCCCATTTGTGTACTAGAAAAGAGTAGAAGATAAAATTATAATTATAATATAAATATATAATTTTTATAAATATTCATTAGTTATAACTGGAATTATTTTAACATAGTATTGGTTTTATTAGTATTATTAAAAATGTATACTTACTATTATTATAGAAGGCGCAGTACCCGACTCCTTTTGAGGAATCGCTAAATAAGTAAAATATATATTTATAAGCAGTAAAGAAGCGCAAAGCTACTTTCAAATAATAAATTTTTCCTATTATTTTAAAAAATTGTTTAATTTTTTTGCCTTTTAATTCTAATTTTAATTCAAAATTTTGTTAGTTATTAAATTTTTAGAGTTAATTAGTGATTTTAGTCAGCAGTTTTATTACGATAAAGTTCTGTAATCATCGGTTTGTACTCCTAATTTTGAAGAATTGACGGGTTTCATCTTTACATCTTACAAAAATTGTAAAAAAAAAACTTTTTTACTTTATTGAGAAAATAATCTGCCGAACAATTCTCTACGATGATTTTAAAAAATGTTTGTAATTAAAAACCAAGGAAACTCAATCGGTTAAGCTCGTTTCTTTTTTAAAAACAATCAATTAGGTTAATCTGTAGGTTACAGTTAATTTAATGATTCGTAAACTCGAATTTGTAAATTATTATTTAAATTATAATAGCGTTGAGAGTATGTTTTTAAATAGACCTTTAACATAGTTATTGGATGAGACGGTCAACCTCGAGTAGTAATTTGTTTTTTATAAATATATTAAATAACGTTAAGTTAATATTTAAATAGAATTTATTTTTTAGTTGATCAAACCGATGAAAATAATACTAATTTAGCTCTACAAGTAAAATTTTTTCTCTTTTATATATATATTTTAATAAGATTGGCTATGAATTTTAAAACGGACAAGTAAACTTCTTAACGGATGAAGCGGTTAGAGTAATACTTTATAATCTCCAGTAGTATATTTGAACTTCTTTTAATAGTAAGTAATAATAACGTTAAGTTGAATTTATAAAACGGACATTTAGATTTTATAATTGATGAACCATTCCAAATAATACTTGAGAGATTCATATTCTATGAAATATATTTTTTTATAACATAATAAGTTAATTTTTTAAACAAACGTTAAGATTTAATGTTTAATAAAACAGTTAAAGTAATATTTAATAAACTCAATAGTATAACTGTTACTTTTCATAATTATATATATATATTAATAACGTTGTGTCGATTTTACTAAACGGACATTTAACATTGTTAGTAGGTAAATATATTTAACTTAAACTCGAAGAGTATATTTGATATCCTATTATTTTTCTAATAAAAAAACGTTAAATTGTGTATTTTTTAAAACAATATATATGATGGAAGAATCGTTTAAATTAAAAACTTTATAAACTAATAGTATAGTTGTTTTTCTTAAAAAAATATATTTTTTAACTTTCATAATAACGAACAATCAGATTTGTTGGTTTATTAAAACAGTTAAAATAATACTCAAACTTAAAAAGTAAAAATTTTTTACTTTTTTTTCTAAATAAGGTTGCTTTGACTTATAATATTGAACATTTAACACAGTTAGTAAATAAAGATTTAAAAGAGCATTGATAAACTCAACTAGTAAATTTACTATATTTTATGAAAACATACTTTCGCTAAATAGGTTTCTTTTTATTTTCGTTGATAATAGATCTGTCAGAAGAAATAGTATAAAAGTTCTTCCCCTTTTTTTAAGAATAAAGTCGGTCACGAACAAGCAAGCAAAGTGGAGTTGTTGAATAAAAAAACTAAAAGATGTTGCTTCGTTTTATTTTTAAATGTTAGCTATTTTAATTTTTCAAGATGGAAAAACAGAGTACTTTATTTTTGGTAAATAAGGAAAAACTTATTGTGATTGTTATGTTTATTAGTATATCAAAAAACAATTTATATACAAACAAACTTGTTCGTATAATAACGGACAGGGTAAACTGCTAATTTAGATCAATTGTAACTTCCCTTTATTTAATATATGCTAGCAATACCATACGACTATTTTCAAGGGTTTCAAGCCTTAAACATTTTTTTAAAGCAATTGCAAAGTCCCTGAGTGTTCCTTTATAACCGTTCTTGTAACCGTTCTGGTAATTTTTTATAAAACACCTTAAATTAATTTTTAAAGAAAAAATTCTTTACCTATCCGCGCTTAATAAAAAATTAGATAGGTAAATATACAAGATATATATAATTTGCGAAAATTAGTGAGTGGTAAAAAAATAGTCACTTATCTGAAAACGGTTATTAAAGAAGTTAAATTCTTAAAAATAATATTTTATCCGAAAACAAGTCTATCGAAAAATGCTAGCTAATGAATTGTTAAAAAAAACACTGTTTCTACACAAAAATTGGTTTAAAATAAAAAGCATCGTAAAGCTATTTTTGGCGTAGACTTTTACAAATTGTCAAGAGTGCTACAGTGCAGCAAAACCTTACTGTGCATCATGACAAACGCGCCGTGGTTTGTGCGAAATAAATCACTTCACCGTGACTCTTTTGACGTCGTCTTCCAGCGTAATGCCAATGCCTCTTACGACAGGCTAGTCAAGCACACTTATCGCCTGCTGATGAGCGAAGTTATTCAGAAGCCATGAGATAGCACGTTATTGTCGCCCACGTGACGCGCGTACGCGCTAGTCAAGGATAATGACATTAATCGAAAGCTATTTTGTAAGGAGTCTGCAATCTCTCCTGATTGAGAACTTGAGTTTTTGGAAGTTTTCTGACTTGATCAAGTACTAGGGCCTGTCATTTCTAAATATAGGAATATATAAATAAATTGTCAAGTGCAAGGATCTTCCCTTCTGGGTGAGGAGCTCATAATCGGAGAGATCTGCCTGGCAGTGATGCTAGCCATTGTCTCGGGATGGCCCGGATCTTGTGCTAAATGCTGCCCTCCCGGTAGTAGTTTTTAGCGGTTTTCCACCATTCTAATCCGAGTGGCGGGAGTCCGGGCCCGATATTTTTCGCTTTTTCATTCCTTCGGATCAGGAATGTTTCCTTTACATCGAAACTAAGATAATTTTGCGCGTCGTTTTAGGCTTGGACTCCATAAACTCTATAGTCGGTATAGTTTGTGCCCTTTTCTTACAAAACTATTCTATTTCGATATTTCGCACAAAGACGAAGCGATAGAAAATCAAGATGGTATTTACAAAGCACAACTCTAGCGTTTTTTCCTTCATGGTTTTTTAACTGTTCATTTTACACTTACCTTATATTTTGATATATTGTATGTTTTTTTATACTTTATTCACTTTTACTTTTATGTTTTATTTTATTGCAGACGTGCAGTTTATTAAATTAGGTATTGATTTTTATAACACTTTACTAAGTAAAAGATGCAGTTCAAAGTTTCAACTATTATGTTTAGTCCATTTAAACAATATTTTAGTTAATATTTAGATATTGTTATTTTAGAAATTTTAGCTAATTTAACTTATAGGTAATTCTTGTCCCCACGGTGCAAATTAGATATTAGCACTAAGTTCTCTTCAATTATAATAGCCTGCGCCCAATTTACCGGCCAACCGCAAAGTTTTACTACCTCTTATCTACTGGGCAATATAATAGTTTGCTCTTTCTCCCCCTTATTTTCCTTATTTCGTAGTCATCCTTTACAAATTTATATATTCTGAGGGCTACTTAGCTTAATAAGACTAAAGAGAACATGGAGGCGGTGTAAAGAAAAAAATTTGTGTAAAACACCCATTTTGTTATGTATGTTTAGGAGAACTAGGTAAAAACTAAGCTTAGTGCGAGCAAAACGTATAGATTAAAAGTTTCAGAAGGTGCTGCTGCACTAAACTCAGGCCTTGTAGGAAGTGATAATGGGCAAAGTTGAGACTTCTGGTGTAGTGGATTCAGTACTTAATGAGGAGTAGGGCCTGGATGTCGGAGCAAACACCATTTGATTGGAAGCTTCGAAGCATTACATTCATTTCTATCAAAAATGTTCTATTTTACGATTTCTCCCTCATACACTGTGCAATGCTCACTACTATATCTTAAATTTATATGATAAAAACGTGAGCATCAAGGAAATTCTTCCTTAAGTCCGATACCTCATAGATGTCGAATTTAAAGTTAGAGAAAAAAACAGAAATAATAAAAAAAACAATTTTCCTTATTTAAGTATTATTACCAAAAGTGTGAGGTTCATTTTAATTATTGAGTTTCCATTTAAGTAGCTATTATTAGTCAAACTATAAAAAAGGTCCTCCAGTAAATGTCTTATTGTACTATATATAAAGCAAAAATTTATGTAAAAAAGCTGCCTTTCTAGTTAAAATTTAACTATAAACCTACCTTCTTTACATTAATAATATAATAAGCAAACTATAATATAGTAAACATAAACTATGAAGTTCTTGTTTAACTCGGAGAACAAACCCTACTCTATCAAGTAAAACTTTTACTTCCACTAGAATTACAGGCAAAAAAGTTATAGCTAATTAATAGTTTAATAAATTGCAACTTATACAAACAACCACTTGTTATAAATTTAATTAAACTTACTAATAGTATAAATTTCCCAGGGACGACAACTACCTTTCCAGATGCCAGCAAGTTGGTTATAATGTAAATATCTTTTGTTGTACAATACAAAAGCAATTGACCTTAAAATTAGAAAATAAATTTTGTATAAGGGTTTTACATTTGAGTTAGTGCGCTTAGTTTGCCAAAAGAAACCATCTATTGCTGATATACTTTTTACAACTTTTTTATTTTAAATTTTTCATTATAAAATTTTTAAATATTTAAATCTTTTCTATTTTTTTATTTTTTCTTATTAACTTTTTTTCTTTTTAATAGTTATTATGCAGATATTTTGATGGAAATTTTAGAAGTTACTACTCTGAATGGATCTGCGGTCTACTTTTTGTGTAGAGTAATAAAATTTTTATAAATATTTTTGTCGTTTTTGTTTTTATTGATATAAAAAAAAAATTATTTATCATTTTTTTTACATAAATTTTTTAATTAAAGTGATTTTTTTTAAATTTTTATTTCGTTACTTCTCGTTTTTTTGAGATAAAAAATAAAATTATTTTTCAACATTTTTTATTTTTTTAGTTAATTTTCTTTCATTTTAATTAGTGATTTGCTGTTTATAGTACATTTTTTTGTTTCAATTTTTTTTTCATTTAGTAATTATTTTTATATAAATTCCAGTTTTGGCTTTTTAGGATTTTTTTTAATTTTTTTTGTCTTTTTTTTTTTTACATTATTTTTCTTTTTGAATTGTTTGTTGCTGTAATAATTTATTTTAAATAAATAATATTGATTTTTGGGTATATCTTTTCTATAAAAATTTTTTTGTAAAGTTTGTTGGCTGCTGAAAAATTTTTCTTACTCAAATATTATTTAAGCTTTTTTTTAATTTCTTTTCTTTGCTTCTCGTTTTTTATAACATAAAAAAATTATAATTAAATTTATTTTTCTTCCTTTTTATTTTTTTTTTTATTTTTCTATATTTTGTTATTTCTACTATTTTTTTATTATCCCGTTCGTATAATTTTTTCAATGTCTGCAGATCCCATGACCACCGGGGGCCTTTTTAAAGATTCCAACTGCATTCTCGCTTCTTCTCTTGATGAAAATATAAGGCTGTTTAGTAAATCTACTGGAGAAGTGCTGAACACGTAACTTCATTTTATTTTATTATATTTCATGTTTTTTATTAAATTATAAGTTGAATAATTTTTTTATTTTACTAGTAAATTTTCTATATAAAATAGTTTTGTGACACTTTTAGCATTTTCTGTTGGAAACTATTTTGAAAAATTTCATAAATCATTTTGTTTAATTTTTTTCAGCATTTTTTTTAACTTTTATTGAAAATTTATTTTAAACCAGAATTGATTTTAAAAATTTGAATATTTTTTACTTTTTAGTCGTAATAGAATTAAAAATTAATATGAATATTTTATTTATAAATGAATTTTCAATTTGACTTTTTTTGTTATCAAAAAAATTAATTTTTTTTGGAAACATAAATTTTATATTTTTAATTTTTAAATTATAACTTTCTTAATTTTTTAAAAATTTATTTATTTTTATAAACTTTATATTTTTAATTTTTTTAAATTTTATTAATTCATAATTTAATTATAAACTTGATTATTTTTTAATTTTTTATTTATAATTGAAATCACATTTTATTAATTATTCTTATAAAGTTATATATTTTTTTTTGAATTTTATTGATACATAATAAAATTATTAATTAGATTGTATTTAAATTATTATTATTACGAACAAATAAATTATATATTTTCATAATTGAATTATTAATTTAAATATATTAAAATTAAATATATTAAAATATTTCTTTTAAATTTTTTTTAAGTTTTTTATTTCATAATTGATTTATAATTTAGTCATTTTTTAATTTATTATTCAGAATCGAACTATAATTTAATAATTATTAATTATTTTATGCATAATTGAATTATAATTTGATTATTATTTTATTTAATTTATTTAAGTCAATTAAAAAAATAAATTAAATTTTTTAAAATTTCTTAAATTTTGTTAACTTCTAAATGAATTAATTTAATTATTTTTTAATTATTTATTCTGAATCGAATTATAAATTTGATATTTTTAATAATTATTAATTATTATTATAAACTAATAACTTGTGTATATATAATTTTCATTAGTACATAATTAGAATTCCTTTTTGATTTTATTATTTTATAATTGAATTCTAAATTAAATTAATTTTTTATTTTTTATTTAGAATCGAATTATAAATTTGATTAATTTTAAATTTTTATTCAAATTAAATTATAAATGTATAAATAATAAATATTTATTATAAACAAATAATATATATATTTTCTATAATATCGCAAACTTTATTAATCCTTAATTGATATATAAATAATAAATATTTATTATAAACAAATAATATATATATTTTTAATAATATTGTAAACTTTTATTAATTCATAACTGATATATAAATATAATTATTTCTTATTTTTTATTCAGAATTGAATTATTAATTTATTTTTTTATAATTAATTATTATTTATAGTAAAACGATATATATTTTTTAAATGTTTTAAATTTTTACAAAATCATAACAGTTCATAATATTGATTATTTTTAAATTTTTTTTGAAGTGAAATAAAAATTTGATTACTTTTATATATTTATAATATAAATTCCACAAATTATATATCTTTAATAATTTTTTTAATTCTATGAATAGCGTAATTGATTTTTAAATTTTGATTCTTTTTTATTTTATTAATCCACAATTGATTAAATATGACTATTTTTTATAATTATTATTTATTTAAACAAATAAATTATATTTTAATTTTTTTAAACCTTTATAATTGAAAATATAATGTTAAATTTTTTTATTTTTTTATTTTTTATTCAAAATTGAATTTAAATTTGATTATTATTATAATTATTTTATTCTTTACTATTAAAACTAATTCTATTTTTTTAATTTTCATAATCTATAAATTAAATTTCAAGAGATTACTTTTATACTCAAGTAAATTTTATTATTTAATTTTTTTTTATATTTTTTTTAGTCAGGATTGAATAATAAATTTGATTACTTTTATAATTAATTTCTTATTATTTATATAAAAATTATGTATATTTTTTTTAATTTTTCTTCATAATTGAATTACTACTTTTAAATTAAATAAAATTTTTATATTTTTAGTTTTATTATTTTTATTTATTTTTAAAATATAATTAAATTATAAAATTGATTCTTATAAATAATTTATTATTTGATTTAAATAAAATTGTTATTCAGAATTTTAATTTTTTTCTTTTTTATTATTCACATTTGGATTATAAGTTTTATTACTTTCGTATATTTTATATTATTTTTTTTGTATTAAATTCTTAATTAAATTTAAATTTGATAATTATTATAAATAATTTATTTATTTAATAAATAAAAAAATTTTATAATACAATTTGAATCAATTTTTTTGCTTCTCTAAAAAAACGTCAATTATAATAAAAAATAACAATAATAAAAATTATATTAAATATAAATTCATTTTACATTTTTTGCGAGTATATTTTAATTCTGATTAACTTTTATTTTTTATTATGAATTCGTAAATTATAAGGAAAATATATATATAATAAAAAATTTACTTTGAACTTCAAGTAAAACAATTTAGTTTTACTTTTTTGCGAGTATAAATTAATCTTATTTCTAAAAATTTTTTATAATACAAGAAAAAAAAATTATAAAAAAAAATTTACTTTATAATTTTTTATTTAAATTAAATTTTTTTTTAGTTCTACTTTTTTGCGATTTTAAGTTTTAATTTTATTTTATTTTTTAAAATTTCTTAAATTTAAATTATTTATTATTTCGTATTGATTCAACTTTATTTAAAATTTTTCTTATTATTATTCTACTTTTTTCCTTTTTTAATCTATTTTTTTTTAAATAATTTTATTTTTTTTAAATACTTTTAAAGTTGTCTTTTTTACTTTTATTAAACTTTCATAAAATTAAAGAGTAAATAAATAAAATGAAATAAATAACTTTAACTGTAAATTAAATTTATTTCAGATTTACATTTCGCGAGGATAAGATTTTTAAATTTAGATTTTAATTTTTTTATGAAAAATATACTTCATAAAAAAATCTTAATAATAAGAAAAAAAATATTAATAAAAAGTAAAGTATTTACTCTAAATTTAAGTTAAGTTTGTCACAAATTTACTTTTTTCCATGTAAAATTTAACAATTTCAAATTATTTTTATTTATTTATCAACTTTTCTTATTATATTTAATATTACCATTATTTTTATTATTTATTTTTTTATTATATATATTTTTACGTGTAAATTTTTAAATTTTTTGATATTTATCATAATAGTTTTGTATTATATATAATTTTAAGTTTTTTTTTACTTTTAGTAAAAATTCGTAAAAAATAAGAAAAAATAAAAATAAAATTTAAAAATTTACTTTAAAGTTCTATTAAATCTATTTCAGCTTTACATCTTTGGAGTAAAAATTTTCTTAATTTCCGATCCTTATTATTTTATAATTAATAAAATTCAGTTTTTCTGGTCTTCAAAATTCTTGGTAATAACTAAACAGCGAACTTTCAAAAACGACGACTTTGTAGTTTCAGACTCCGAAGAGGCCTCATTTACTATTGGGATCTTATAAATGTTTTTTTTTAATTTATATTCAACTTCTTAATAAACTTATAACAATAATGACGAGCTTCTTAAATAATATATTTATTATAAAAAAAAATTAGTTATATAATGAAAAGTTTACAGCAGTATTTACGGTAGTCGTTCTAGGAACTAGGGAAGAGGACGCTGGAGAAGAGTATATACATTAATAAATTATTAATAAGTGCAAGGCTGTAACTTGATAATAAAACTGCGACAGGTTTAATATTTTTACATTTTAGTAAAATATATATACAATCCCATTCTTATGAGATATGAATGTAAGATATAAAAGCCGAAAAAACTAAATTTTGCAACTTCAAAAAAGCAATTGCTTTTTTATAAGTGAAGTACTAATATAATGTTTAAATAATTTTTATGGTTATCTATATTCTTCAATATATATATTGATTTAAATGCCTTTGTTAGTACCTTTTGTGGTATTAAGTATACACCACGGCCCCTGAAACGATAAGCTTCACTTTAAGGGTTGTGAATAAGCCTATTATTGAAAACAAGACTGTAAAGTGGTTTTACGATCCTCAAGCTTATTTGTTATAATAGAGTCAAGTTGGCTACAACTTATTTTCTAATACCCGCTGACTCACTTTCATTTTTATGCATATATTTAACTTTCGTAACTTGTCACAATGTTATCAACAAATTTAGAGCTTCCGTTAATAATTTAGCTTACATACCCTACACCACAGACAATTACCTTCTTTTTACAAGGCATTATCTTGGTAATAGAACAACTTCAGAGCTTTGAAGCATATAACCATTTTATATAAATTTCTTTTTATTCGACACCCAGCATATGCTTATAGATATCAAATTTCGTAATATGTAGTTATTTTATCCCTGACCATATTATTTTTACAACTGCTTCGTTTTTCATTACTATCCCTAATGGGCGGTTTTTTGAAGAAATATTATTTAAGAAATTATTACATTTTTAAAATCGTTAAACCAATAATAAACAAAGCACATTTATTGTGTGATAAAGAATGAAACTTTTTCTAACTAAACTCTATTTTCCACAGACATCACGTTAAATAATTCTTTTTAGAAAATAGACAAGATTTTAAAAAGTATTACAACTGAACTGTCATAAATAGAGCTTCTCTCAAGTTTATTACCCTCTAAAAAATATTATAGCTTCTTTAATCTTGTCACCATAGGAAAGGAAACTAGTAGATCGATAATCTCAGTCGTAGTTGCTACATCGGTTAAGTTTTGGTATAAAAGCGACGTCTAGTTGTTCCCCTCTTTTAGGAAATTAATTTTGGTAAATGTAAAGACGAAGACTCATATATATATTTATAAATAGTTTAAAAAATATAAATTATTCTGTTCAAGGAAATTTTCTTTTTAGCATTAGGTTCGAACAAACTCTAGGGTCCCTACTTTTTAACTGCTAAATTTATCAATATTAGAAAAAATCTCTTTTAGAATAAATATTTTTTCCTGTCGCGATCTTTAAAGGACCTGAAGGTGGTGAAATTTCGCAGCGTTATGACTTGGTTAATTACGGAATATTCCTTTTTTAATCACCAAAATTTGCTTAGGGAATGTATTTACAGTTTCTCCATAAACGTTAGCCTTTCAAACTGGCAATTTCCTTAATTACTGATTAGTTAGTCATCTGAACATTGATAAAGATTTCATCATATTCCAAAAAGAAATAACGGATGATACCATAAACTACAGTATTCCAATTAAAAGGATATTAGGAAGAGCAATTATAAATTCACGTTTGGCCACTTTAACTAACTTGCCTTTCTATAAATAGAGTTTTTACAATTAATTTATCTAAAGTATAAAGTGAAAATTGATATACTTAAAGTTGTTTAAAATAATACAGTATTTATGAGTGTTTTAAATAAAATATACCTGCGTAGATTCAGAAGAAGAAAAGGTACTTACCAAACTAAATTAGGTACTGTCCCCTTTCTATGCTGGTTTAAGTAAAGTCTATAATTTAATAATACTCGGTCATCGTCCGAAGATAGTGAAAATTAGATACCTTTATAAAAACCGATTAGTAATTAAAATAACTAAGTCTAGCACTAAAAAACCCCTAATTAAACTATGTGTGGGTTCTGAAAGGGCTTTAACAAAAACAATTATTACTTTCCGTTCAACGTTCTAGGGCTTACACTTTCTGATTTAGAAGGAGCGCTTATAATTCAGCTCCCCACATAAAATGACCAAATTTAATTTTTTTCAATTCTTTTTTAGTAGTTCTTTACCCAGGAATTATAATAAATTACTAATTTAATTCTTAGTGTGATACTTACACCAGTAGCATTTTCATTTTTAAATTTCAGTAGATTTGAAATAAACGTCTTTAAAGTGTGGTCTAAAGAAAGTACATCGTCACCTCATTCCATAAACATCCTTCCAGAACCAACTTTAATGCCGTTTTTCTAGTGGCTTTCTAAATTTGGTCGATGTTTTTCCTTTAACCAATTCTTAGAGCTCTCATTTTTCGCCCAGTATGACGCCAGTATTTCAATAAATTAATATAAGATAGAGCTTATAAAACCGATCAATCTTTCACTTTAATTATGTGTACTTATAGCTAAAAAATAGGAAGTAAAAACTTTTGGAAGTTAATATGTTTGCTGGCGGATATTGCGAGTTTTAGAAAAAGTATATCAGCATGTTTTTTTTGAGTGTTTCATTTTTAAAATAGTCCAAACAACCTCTGTAAAATGCAGGATGCTTTTGCAGACAGAATGCGTTTCTAGGTGTTTCATCTTCAGATTTACTAAAGGATCTGGAATCGTAAAAAGATAATGAAGTCAAGAGAAGCCCATGGGTTTTGCATGTATATATTTACATCTATGCTATGCCCAGCTTAATAATTTGTAGTTTCATGAGATTACAATATAAAATTTATTGAACTGGCCTGCGCCAACACCAAGGTAATGAGGCTCCAATAAGGAATCTACAGATTTGTTGGGCAAATATTCACGCCTTCCTATTCTAATTTTTTATTGGCCCTTTAATAATCTCTCGCCGACCGCAAACCCACTTTAAGCTCATTTCATTTAACTTTTTTTATTGGGCTAAGCTTAAAAATGCTCTCTTATTTGGCTGTAACAATCACTCTTGTAGACATTAAAATCTCAACTGAAAACAAAATCAAACCAATTGAAAACCCTTGAATAAGTCCTCCACTAATGTTCTAATAATTTATTCACTTTTGATAAAAGTCAACTTGAAAGGCGAAAAAGATAAATATACTAAGTTATATAGTTTACAATTTATTATAAAAGTTTACTGCAAAGAACGACTACACAAAGTTTTTGTATAAGGTTGTATTAGCCGAGAGGAACGAGCAATACTTTGCGTGCACAGCTGACATACTTCTAATGCGATGTCCTGAATTTATTGGTCTGTCCGATAACCCTGTTTGCAAAAATATACCTATCATTTTGTTTTAAGGGCTCGACGAAAACAAAAATATGTTTCTCATTTTTTTATTAGTAACTGAATTAATTCAACTTTTCCCATTTTAATTATTTTAGATGGGTGGAACTGCTTTTTCCTTAGTTAAAAATTTATAATTATTGCATAAAAACAATAGGTCCTAAAATAATCTGGCAGTTATGAATCGGTTAGCTAATATGACTTTTACTTCAAAGTTAGTACGCTTTTTCTGTCATGTAACCCAAAAAACTGCTTGTTGTTTGCTTTTCCGTCAAGCAATGAAACCGTGCAGTTTTCAGTGCTACGCTTTAAAACACTTAAGCATTTTAATTAAGAGTTAAATAGTTAATAAAAAAAATTTTATAATTGTCTAAAGTTAGAGCCACAAAAGAAATAGAAAGGATATGAAATCTTTTAAACTAGGAACAACAATCAGAAGGAGAGTAAAACAAAAAGAGCTCTCAAAGCGCTTAAGTTCGAAGGGGTAATTTACACTATTCAATAGGTGCTGTTTATTGGAATTACTACTACTAGAGGCTACACACTGCTATAGACCCTAGCAAAAGGTCAAACATAATGCTTAACCTACTAAGAAGGTTCATTGCATATGGAGGAGAGATAGAGAAGGATCGAATAGTTATAGTTAAATTATCTATTTATTATAGCACTGGTCTGCTACAGGTGTAAATTACGAGTAGTGACTGTTTACCTACTCTCTGTCGATGTAGCGAGGGTGCTGCAGAAACCACGAGCACCTAAGCAGGCCAGTGTGTCATCAAAGCGGACGGATGTGCTTTATCCCCACAAATTTATAGTCTACATATCAAAAAGAAGCAGCAGTAATATAATAGGGTCTAGTATAGTTAACCATATAACAGATTAATAAAATTAATAAATAATTTATAGCCCCGTTGAAAGGGCGTTACTACCTTCAAAGAAAAAAGTAAAGAAGCTAAACCAAATCGTAGACAGAAAACACGTGACTTTGAAAACAGGGGTAGAAGCACGTGTAGAGCACGGGTCGTATTTGAGTTATAGCTTAAGCTACTAAATGGAGAGTGTTATCTACTTTTTTTATATATACAATAAAAAAATTATTTTATCTTACTAACGACGCTATCAATTATCTGTTACGAAGACTATGACTTACTGTATAATTTATAATTTGTATGTTGTATAAAAGTTATTATAGAGTCTTTTTATTACTATATATTTATATTATTGTAATAAACTTTTTCTTAATGTTCATTAAATTTATTGTAGGATTTCTGAAGCTTAACTATAATTGGTGTGTTAGTGTTACGTTTTGTAGCGAAAGACCACGCGTCATGGCAAATAATACGTGCTCTTTAGGAGGCCGCTTAATTAATTATTCTAGCGCCAATAGTTTCTTTTTCTATATCATTTCAAATTATATTTATACAAAAATTACTTTTTTATTAAAGCTCCGCTAATAAATTTTTTGATATTTTTCATATAATCAATATTAATAGTAAAGAAAAAAGGGGTCTAATGTTTATTAATTGGTATATTAAAACAAAACTTTTCTATACAAACTGATATTATTAAAAATCAACTGCACCAGCGCAGTGTCCAGAAATTTGCTTATAAATAAATAAGGGTACCAAACGAGATGTCCCTAATAAAATTCATAATGATAGAATTAAAAATAATAGTAATAATAAGTAAACCTTTATTTTTTTAATAAGGAAAGAGCCTCGTTCGTGCAATTACACTCGCATATATAAGACTTATAACTACCGTTAAAAAAAAAGGAAGCCGTTAAAAAAAATTATTATAGAAATGAAAAGAAGCAATATTTATTTATACAGCCGATTGCCTTTTTATTATTTCTCTATGCACATTAATGACGTTCTCCGATTAGTAAATAAAGCTTAATCATAAATATTGATTGGTCTCTGACTCTAACAACTAACGTATATTCGAGGCCTGATTGGCCGCTTAAATACACAAATATGACTCTCTTTGTGCGAAGTGGCTGATTAATAAGAATGCTCAATTCTGATAAGTGGAACTGCAATAATCAACCAATAGAATTACTTTCTTCCTAATGAGGCCATTTTTGCGAGCAAGTCGTGCATTGTGAGAATATTATTGGAGTTTACGTCCGGAAATAAACTTTCGTAAATGAGCGTATTATTAGCGGCGGTGCTGGTGAGCAGGAAAAGTGTTTCCTTTGCAAGCGGATCCTTAACGCTGCCGTGAATAAATAAACAAATATATAGTTAAAAAAAGTTCTTTACAAAAAAAATAAATAAATATTTAATAAAAAAAAAATTTTTTTAAAGAAAAATAAAATAAAAGTGCCCTTCAAAAGAAGACAGTCCCAAATGTTCAGCCCACAATTTACAGCGGAGCGTGTGGGAGAATCTGCATATTAGTTTTTCATTTTATTATTATTTAATATAAAAATATACCTTCCAGCAGAATACTGAACTCCGCTCATCTTGGAAGTAACATAATCCTGATCTCTTATAATTATAGCGACCTCTGAATCGCCGTCTCCTAACAAATATGAATTATAACAACAATAATTAATAATAATAGTAATAATAACCCAATAGCGAACGGTCGTTGATGTTTGGCGAGCCAATAATGGTTACCTTATCGTCGACGATCAGCAGTTTGGAGTGCACGTAGATCATTTCGGTAACAATTTTTTTCCCTTTTAAGTATATCAATAGTAAAATGAGAGCTCTTTAAAAGTTATTATAAAAAAGTAATAACTATAATACATAACATAAATGTTTGGTTGTAATACTTAAAAAATTTCCACGTGATTGTTTATGCATAGCCGATTTTAATGCGGAAAAAAACATTTTAATAATAACCATTCCGTTAATGGTGGTGTCAAGAAAAATAATCATAGGATCGGATTGAATTCTTAAATCTTGTTGGTGTAAATCTTTGTATGGTTACTACAAATTTTACTGAACACAAAGTTTTCTATACTATTATATTATATACTTAATATTAACATTATTATCGCCTTTATTATTAATATTTACCTAATAGCCCCCACGTTCTTAAAGAAAATAACTTTATATATTGCTGAAGGTCAATGCTCTGCGTGTACCAATAAAAAGAAAGAAAAATAGTTATCAGTAGAAGTAAAATGTATATATTAATTTAATTGTCATTGACCAAAACTTTATAATAACTATAACTAAAAAATTTATTATCATTTCTTTAGCAGTGATATTATTCCAATTTTTATTAACCGACATTGCTAAATAAATTTTTCTTTATTTCATTGGCTCAAAATATAAAGAATCAACTACTATTGGAGAAGAACTATTACAATTTTGATTGGTCAGAAAAAATTAAAAACTATATGAAAAACTCAGGTTATAAAATTATTTATTAATATTTTAGAAATGTGTTAATATTACTATCGAGTAAAAAAATATTTTTTAAAAAAATAATTAATTTTTAAAGGGATCAGAAATAAAAAAGCTTTTATTATAGAAAAGGTGTAAGTTTTATTCTTTATATGATTGGTTATTAACTTTCATAGCGATTTCTTTAATGCAAGTTATTTTATATTTTTTTACTGGTTGAATAACTGACGAGGAATAATTAACTTATAGTACATATTTGTACCAATAGAGCTAAATAGTTACAAAAAAAATCAAATAAAATAAATTCCAAAACATGAATAAAAATTTCAAAAGTTACCGGAAATTCTCTTTTCAAGGTTTGGAATAAAGAAGTTTTCGAAAGATAAATTGTTTCATACTAAAAATATTATAAAGGCTTATACTGAAGCAAATGAGATAAAAAAATAATAATAATAGACCAATTCATAATTATATACGTATAAAATAAACCAATAAGAAATGAATACATAATGAAACCGAAAAAAAAACACCAATGAAAGAAGGAATAAATATTCAACCAATCAACCTGAAGTAGCATTATGTAGCGCAAAATAGCATCATCACGGAAGTTTCCCTCTTCGTTGGTCAAGTTTTATAATTAGATAATGAATGAAAAAAACTTTTCTACCAGGAGAAATAGGAAGAGTTATAAAAACTTGAAAGAGTTTATTTTCTTTAATAGCGCGTCGGACTCGAGCGCATATGGCTCCGGCAATAACTATAAGTGTATTAAGAATAAGAATAGGAATAGGAATAGAACAGGAATAGAATAGGAATAATAATAATAATACAGTTCCTGGGTTCATCGGAACTTCTAGACTTCAGCGTAGAAGAAATAAAGTATTGATTTTCTAAAATATTACTTTTTTTTAATATTGATTATTATTACTGATGATTATTTTTCTTCTAGCCTATATATATATAATGCTCAGCATCCTCTATAGTCCGCAGCATCGCCGTTAATATAGAACACTCCGTGCTTTGTCCGCCAGACCAGGAACTTATGGAGCGTAGAAACTTTTTATTATACTAAGGATAATATGCAGTAAGAATATATGATAATAATAACTTGAGCTTCGCAGTTTAAAGGTTTGTGTGAAAGAGTTTGTATAAACTTCTTAATGGGCCTAAAAGATAATAGTTATTAGTAAGTAAATATAAGTTGTCGCTTAATAATAATAATATGAATAATAAATGATAATAATAATAATAAGAGCGCACAATGAAGATAAGGAGAGCTGGTTTTCAGTTAATACAGAGTTTATAGAGCCCTAAATAAATATATTATTAGAAAATATTATAATATTAATAATTATCATATCCCATTCATTATTATTTTAAATTTTTATATAAATATTTTTTATTTATATACAAATTATGTTTACAAATTATAATATAAATATTACAATATAATAAATGTTTACTAAATACTTTGGTATTAGTATTATTATTATATATTTTATTTATATATTAATTACTGTTATAATTATTTATAATATAATAAATATTTATTATTTTTATGTTAATACTATTATAATTTATATATATATTTCTATTTTATTATGTTTTTCATTTATTTATAAATATTATTAAATTATAATTTTTGTTGTATAATAATAATTATTATTAATAATATATCAAAATATTAATAAATAATATTATATTCACTTTATTATTAGTACTTCTTATATTTGTTTTTTCAGTTTATTATTACTATCATATATAACTATGACTTATTTTACTTATTTCTATAAATTTGAAAAAATATATATAAAATCTTTTGAATTTACTAAATACAATAATTATAAATCACTTGCATTAGTAGTTTTTTATAAACTTTTTAAGCAAAAAGTTATTAATAAACAAAAATAAAATCTAAAATTTTTTTATTATAAAAAATATATACAAAAAGTTTTTTATTTATTATAAAAACTTAAAAAAAAATTCAATTAAAAAAATTATAAATGTGAACTTTCTATAGAGAATAGTTAAAAAAAAATTTTTATAGAAAACCAAAATTTTTCTTATTAAAGTAAAAAGTATTTTAATATATATTTATTATATTAAAAAATATATATAAATATAATAAATACATACAAAAAGTTAAAAAATTATAGTATAATAGTAGTAATAAAAAGTAAATATTTTTGCAATATATACACAAATTAAAATATTATAAAAGAATAAATATATAAAATATATATATAAAAGATTGTACAAAAGTATATATAAATAAAAATATATAGAAGTAAATATGAAAACAATATAAAATATTTATAAAAACTACAGAAATAAATATAAATATGTATATAAAGTTAAAAATTAAAATAAACAAATGTTTAATTTTAAAAAAAATTGTAAAAGTTAAGCATTTTATATTTAATATATAAAATAAAACACATAAATAATAACTTTTTTTATAAATATCTATAAATTTACTTTTTAAATATCAATATTTAGTATTAGTAGATAGAATAAAAATAATAATAGCGACCAGTCCGTCAGGACAAAGTACAGGATAATACTCGTCTATATGAAGCTCGCGTGCATGATGGTTCCTTTTTATTATATAAATATAATAATATTCAGTAAATATTAAATAGTAACCAGCGCTGCGCAAAGTGAAGAAAAAAGTCAGTAGCAATTTCAGAGCCCCTAAAAAATAATTATAAAAAAAATATATACACAAACTTTTCTGGTAAAAATATAATAAAATCATATAAATATTCCATAAATATAAACGTAGTATTATATGTTTATAATAATAAAACGTATGTACTATATCATTATACATATTGAAAAAAATATAAAAATACAAAAAAAGTAGAAAAAGTTAAATATTATAAGAAAATAATATACGATATTATATGTTTCGATAAAGAAAGTTGATAATAAAAATTCTATAGTAATTATAATATTAATAAACTACCACAGAGAACAATAAACGTCGTGCCAGGGCATGCGAGGCTGCGTGGTTCGCTCTAATAAATCTTCAAAAGGTTTATCCACTTTACCTTGAAACATGCCAGTGGTCAATAAAAACGAACGCGTAACCAATCAAATAAAATTTGCAAAGCCAACAAATCAAAAGTTAGCATATATAATCATATAACCAATCAATTAAGACCGCAAAACAAAAATAATAAGAAAGTTATATAGCACGTGATTTGTGGTAAGCACGCGGTTTCATAAAAATCCTACAAATTTCTTTGATAGTGGGGTTATAGTAGTCCTTTCCGGGCCACACCAGTTTCAGGTGGCAATCGTCCACAAGCGGATGCTTGCACGTGTCATATCGCCCAAAGGCGAGATCCAGGCCGCCTTTGCCATCGCGATAATGATAAGCAATAACAATCAAACTATAATCATAAATAGGAATCAACGCACCAATAAATGCAACGGTGCGATCAATGCAAATCAGTTTATCGTGGTGCGACCATTCAAAAGGCACAGCAGCTAACATGAGTAAAATAGTTTTTCAGTAATACTAACTTCGATAAAAGTCGTCATATATAATTATAAAAGATTAATAATAATAACTTTTAATAAAAGTTACTAACTTTTTTGATATTATATATAAATATATATAATATATAATATAAAATAAAGAAAAGAAAAACACCAGGATGGGCTATCACTTTTATATTTTCATGCAAATTTTCAAGCGTAAGTTTAGCGTGTTCATTAGAAAACTTGAAAGCTTGCGAAAAATTTAACCAATCAAAAGATGAATAAGTAGCCTTTAAAAATAAACCGAATTTAGTTTCGTTCCATGCGAGAATATAAATCTAATAAAAGTATGAACAAAGACATAAATATAACAAACTTATATAAACAGTACACGAACTCCAGCGTGCGCCCGTTCTTGAAGAATATTATCCAAACGGTCATGGACTGAGGCGTTGGGGCCTCATAATAGTATTAATAACAACGAAAATATCAATATTAGTAAGTATATACTATTATTAAAATTATTATTACGTAGACATTAATATTGTTTACCATTCGAAACTAAAACAGCAAGGAGTCGATTAAAACTTATTTGGTACAAATAAGGGGTTAGAAAATTTCTTTTAGTAGCGGTTTAAGTGGTAATAATAATACTACCCTTTTTTAAGTACTAATTATTATTTTATAATTACTATTATATCGATTATTATTATTACATCATTATTACAATTATAATTATTGTAGTTATTATAAGTAATAATAATATCTTTATTTTACCTCTACGTAAATAAATTTCCGGAGAAAGCATCCAATCAGCTTTTAGTTCGACGTCGATAAAAAAAGGGCCATTCATAGGTGAATAAAATAACCAATAAGGATCTCAAAAGAGGCGGCCATGAGGGCATCAGCGACGGCACTAAAGGCGTTTTTTCCGTCTACAAAAAAACACGCATGGCAATTGGTCCTTACGGGGAACGGAGACGCATGGGCGTATGGAACTGCAAGACGGTGAAAAGTAGCAAAAAGTACCGATAGGAAATATACATATGTACGATGCACAAGGTTCGTCTTTAAAAAGGTGTCCCACGTGTGATATTCCGCGGATAGACCGCAAAATTTGCAGGAACCTTTTTCTCCGGGACAGAAGCTATTTAATAATAATAATAATAATTAATAATAATAATAATAATAATAATAATAATAATAATAATAATAGTCAAACCGTGAACAAACTCGATGAGCTCCTTGAGGATGCCCACAAATATTGCAGTACTCTCCTCCATCAGCAGCTGATATTGTAATGTTTATAGTATTAATAATAATAATAATAATTAAAATTTTGCTTTACAAAAATATTATAAACAAAAAATAAAGCACTAAAAAAGAGGAATAATAATAGTTACTATACAATAAAAATATAATCTACCAATAAAAAAGCTACAAAGGAAGTGCTTTTGCGGTAATTGGCCGCAGTTATCACAGAAGGCCGCGGAGTCACGTGAGTTAAAAGTGGAAGGCTAAGATAGTAAAGATGAGTATTGGCTATTTTCTATATTTGTTTGCTTTTTTTTAATTAAGATTTTTAAAAGTTAATAACTTTTATAATTACTTCAAGAATTCTAATTAAAGTTATTTAATTAAAAAAATACTTTTTTTATTAATTAAATTTTTAAAAATATAAATTTACTTAGTAATTATTTTTAATATTAAAATGGTTGTACTACTTTAGAGTTGTACAAGTTAACTACGAATAATTTAAAATATTACTTTAAAATTGTATGACAAATTATATTAATATTAAAGTGAATTATAAAAAAAGTTATCAAAAATTTAATATTACGTCAAGTTGAAGTAGTTATTAAGTTAAAATACATAATAACTTAAAAGAGAGAAAACCAGAGGAGCGCAAGTATAAAATTCGCAAACGTTGTGATAAGTTGCTATCAAGCCACACTTTGTACAAATGTCAGGGTTTTCTTCAGAAGCTTTAAATTTCTATAAAAAGTTACGCTTAAGATGTAGTTAAAGTTTAGGCACTTGAATTATTAAAGATACATCACACAAGTTAGTGTGATCCTCTTCGCTTAAACCACAAATAGTACAGGTCTTCTCAACAACAACGCTATTCTGTGCTTCAGTATAACTTCAATTTTACTCAATATGAGTAGAAGTTTGATAAATAGATAAAAAGTAATGCAATTCTAAGCAACCGAGAACAAGGAATATGATCAATTTCTTGCCGCCCACAATTATTACATCGATCGAAAAATAATTCGCTTTTAATGAAAAAGGGGCCTAAAGATAGTAAAAGTTAAATTTATTTACTACAGTTTTAATACTAATATTACAAACACTGTGTTCATATTCACTAAGTCCGCACTTTAGACACTTCGTGTGATTTCTATTATATAACTTAAAATGTTCGCATTGACTTTGCGATAACAGTTGTACAACCAAATTAACAAAATTTAAAGCTAATGTTACGGCGTAATTACCTCTTCGATTTCATAACATAGAAGTGATGTCAATAGCAACTACTTACGTTTAATTCTAGCGTAGCACTTTCCACTACTATAGTTTTAAGATTAATATGATAAAAATATAAAACACTATGGTAGATAACGCTCAACTAATAGCAATTGAAAACTTGTGTGATATTTTTGGTTAACAAAACCACAGCGTTGGTAGACAAAGCGGGAGACACTAGCGTTAGCGCTATGGGAGAAGGAATTTTTTTAATTGAATTATCATCCACAGAGCCAGTAACAAATAACTTTTACAAACTTCTTCGATTTATATTTTACTCTAAATAAATATAAAAACTTTTACTACATATGCAACCGCAATATTGTGTGACTTTAGATTAATTTACAAAGTGTAAGTTATTAAAATAAAAATAAAAATTTTTTAAGTGCAAACATTTATTATTTAATCAGTTATTATAACAAATAATTTAGGCCTGCTTGTGCGGCCTTGCTCGACCATGCGTGTACTTTATATGAATTGCTCGGTGTATACGTTGCTAATGATTAAAAGTCGGTGAAATCCTTTAATATATGAAAAGATGTGTTTAGCTATCGCTTAATTTAACTCAACTATAAATAAAAAATTAAATAATTTTTTTTTCTAAAAACTTAAACATACTAGCGGCTTGAAAAGTGTCACATACCTTAAATACACGATAGAAAGATTATATAAGATCTTTATAAAGCCCTTTTGGTAAAAAACTGCGATAAGCTCATGCTTCCCTGTTTAATGAGAAAGTTCTAGCCTTGATTGCTCATTTCAAAGTAAAAGTTAGAAATAAACAAAAATCGTCGTCTTCCATACACACTCAAACTAATGATAAAAAGCAACGTTTAGAAACTTATTATAACTGAAATAGTTAAAGGTGCTACTTAAAAAATAGTTATCTGATTTTATATAAAAATTTCATAAAAACCAAAATTCGTACTGCAACTAAGTTGCGATAGGCATTACTCTTGCTCAGTAGTTCTACAGCTTTACTTTTACAAATCTCAGTTTCCCAGTAACATTTATAACCACATTATACGATTGGCCTTTAAAAGGCAACTTCTTTAAAAAAACTAAAACTTTAGTGTCGTGAACTCCTATAATAGTTGAAAAAGTGTTCCATTTTTCAATTTTTATTATTTATGTAAGTCATTTTTTTTTAATAAAAAACTAAAATGAAAAGAGTGGCTCTTGGCCCAGGCATCCCTCTGAAAAAACCTGAATCGCGAAAGCTAATCAAAACAAAAGGAAAAGCTTTAGACAACCTAAAATAATTCATGTAGCTTTAATATATTAAATACTCTCAAGTATATTCAAAATTCTTTAAAATTGCTTCTTCGCATTACAAAAAGGGGTAATAATTTTTCGTCGTCTAAAAAACCCCTCTTTCGCAATAAAAATCAAGCCACTTACAATTTTACGCAAAACTTCTGAGAAATCCGTTATCTGATTTTTTTTATCCTTCATATAGTGAATAGTTTCTCAAAAGGTAATGCTACTAATGTTTAAGAGAGCAACAACTAGGAAAAGTTAACTCTTAAATACCCTACTTATGGTAACCACAAAACAACCCCAAAAAACTGGATTAAGATACGTCCTACTACTCCAGCAGAAAAAACCTTAATTGTACACGTGGTGGAGGATGGTTTTATCAAAAATATCTCCAATGAAGACTACAGCAAAAGGTTTATCGGAAAGCGAATTCAAAAATTGTTTTTGTTACGAGAAAATGCTTTATCACTATTATTATTATATTTATGATCGTATAATACTCGGTAAAGTAAGACATTTTTAAAAATAATGCAAAAGGAGTATGACAAAAGTATGGCTAGGTAATAGAGTATACTAGGAATTGACATTTATAATACAAACGAGTGGATAACTCTAACATAAAAGCATACTTCGAAGGCTTATTTTAAATTTTTAGTTTTCCTTTCAAAACTCGCTAAATTAAGTTGTTGAAAGTAAAAAAAAGGCATAATTGTCGCTGAGCAAGACTGAGTACAAAGCAAAGTATCTCTCTTATTACTACAATTATTAAGAGTACTTATCTTTACAATAACAACGGTATTTAGAGGGATCCAGCAAAATTTTTCGGCTATTATACTTATATAAATTTGCAGCTCTCTATTTTTAACTTGATTTTAAAAAGAGTCATTTAATAAAATGCAATTCGAATTATACTAGGCTAGTATCGTTAAAACGGGGAATCCAAAAGTCTAAAAGTGAAGTTATATTGATGACTTTGAGCAAAGTTGAAGAAGGAAGTGCTAAGAAAAAATAAGTAAAAATAAGAGGAAAACACATAAAACTTAGTTGGTAAAAAAAACTTTAAACAAAGCCCAAGTATTTTTAAGTAAAGAGAATTAGAAAAAGTATTGTAAAAAAATGAACCGGCGGAAATTTTCAGAGGGGTATACTTGTAACCCGTTAAAAAAAAAATGGTATTCGTAAAGGGTAAAGTAATTTTCTACTCCTCAAATGCATTTACAATATTGTACTTACTTATAAATATATAAATTGTGTTTTAACTCAATTTCTAAATTAAAAACTAGCTTTGAGTTAATGCTAGTTATTGTGAATTCTTTTTGGGTCGCTATCTTTTGCCGAGACTAAAACTATTAGCAAACTCGGGATACTATAAGAAATATACAATTTTATTTTTTGTCATATTATTTTTAACTATACTAGTTATTAGTCACTTGTGTTACTAGTATTAATGCCAAGGTTGAAAACCTTTTTAACTTATAAGATCGCTTGATTAAAATTAGTTATTAATAGGGAGGGGGCCTGTCCAAGCATTGTGTAATTAAAGTCAAATCTAGAAACAAAATTATTTGAAACACAAAAACCTCACTCCCTAAATAACCCCAACTGAGAATACAAACAAATAAATATCTAAAACAAAATAAATACAAAGCGGTTGGTGAGTAATCCGGTAAGGTTCAAGTACTATTGCCTTCGTCTTAGCTTACAAGACACGCTCATCGTAGGCTAATTAAGCAAAAAATAATTTTTTTGTATTATCCTTTTGTAGAGGGTAAAATCTAATTTACACTTCACATGGTTCACACAATATAACTATAGAGCTTGGATTATTAAATTTTTAATAGAAAAGAGTAAACTTAATACCCTTTTATTATATTATCTCGCATAAACGCCCGATAAAGTACTTCTTGTCAAGGTTTCTTTCACATCTACGCCTTCTCGCCTTCCTGTACACCAATTAAGAGGTTCATAACTAATCGAATTGGCGTTTACTTTTTTGCTAAATAATTATTGGCTAATCGTTTATCTTAACTTATTACTGGAGGTTAATTTATTGGCAATACATTTAAAAAAATTCAGGTCATAAACGGGTTAATAAAAATCTCCTCGCCCCTCGCCAAGCGTTGCAAGTGTTCATGTTATATTTCACTTGTATATACAGTAACACTTTACTTAACTTCCAGACAATTTTTTTGAATGTATAGATGCACTAACGTAAAAAAAAAAAGCTGAAAGCAAAAATCATTTGTATAACCAATTTGGAAATTTAGATGAGAGCAGAATGCAATACTATTAAATTTAAAAAATATATATAACTTATGGTGTAGCATTAATTTACTATAAAATATTTTAAAAACATGGGGAATTTAAATTTAATAAATTTGCAGAAAAGACCTTAAAGTGGTTTTTTCTACTCTCACACGGGAGCAACAAGAAAGTTAACTATTATCAAATCTAAAGTTTTATTAGATCCTGTTATGATAAACTTCTGTGATATATTCTTATATAAGAGCCTAAAAAAGTTGTAGGTAGTAAATAATTTCCTTAAAAAAATACGCGATTAATACTTCATTCTCTACTCAATATAACTTTTATATTAATTTATTAGTATATGTTTATTATACAAAACGAACCAATGTATTAGTAAAACCCTCTTTATCTACACTCCAATAATTTATGCCGGCATAGAAAACTAGTAATAAAGTTAACAGTACTATCGCCAAAGATTTCTCTTTTTCCCGTTAAAAAAATATCATATTTAGATAACTTGCATTGAACTTTCTATAGAATTTATATAATTTTTAATATATAAATTATATCTAAATTAATTTTTTAATTAAAAATTCAAAATAACAAGTATTTCTATTAACAAAATTCATAAAACGTTTCAGTTTATATCGCACAAATTAGAATATTTGGAAGGGACGAAGGTAATTTATTCTGAAGGAAACGTAAGATCCCAAAATTTTGGAGGCGTTTTCGCTGGAGAGTATAAAAAACGGTGACGCGAAACTTTATTCAAACGTTGCTGGAAATCATGCCTGCAATCCCCACGAAGGCCGCACGCCTTGTAAAACTTTCAAACAGTAAAATATATTTATATATAAATTAAAAAATAAACTTTTTCGCACTGGTCACACTCGTAGCCTTTCATCTGTGCTCGAGATTTTGGTAGAAGGTCCTCGAAGTGGAGAGTAACGGCTTTTTCTGGAGACTTCTTTTCAAAGTCCACCCTAAAAATAATAATAGAATTTATACTATTAAAAAAAAAAACTAAAATATTACTGTAAGTTGGGAGTGTGGTCTGTAAAGGTCAAAGAAATAGGGATTTCTTGAGATTC